CTGTTTACTCTATGTAACAGAGTATTATAGAGCCATTACCATATATACTATACAATAGAGATATACTAATATTAGAACATTTGTTTACGACCAGCAATACTATGTGTATCTCCCGAAAATACTCAAGGCCCTGAAAATACACTTCATCATTTGATATCTTTGCCCACAAAGGAAAAATATCGTCGGCGTATACTAAAATCCTATAAAAATTGGCTAAGATGAAAATTATTATATACTATTTATTGAGATTTGATTACTAGTATCTTAATATATATAATAAACTTATCAAAATACAATTAAAAATAGTAGAAAATGTATATTATTGATATGTACACTGAGTAAAATTTAAGCTTTACTAGTTTTTTTTTTATATGTTTCAGAAGTCCACTCACCTTAAACACTAGGATTAATAGTAAAAGATATTTGAAGATATTCAAGTAGAACTTTAATGTTGTGAGATTACTAATAAAAAATAAATACAATTAGCGCTGCAATAAATATATGTATATTGTCTAAAATAAATGAAAATATATATGTAAATTATTGACTGTGATTCTCAATCAGAACAACACCAAGTAAACGTGATTTGGTTAAGAATCTTTAAAATCTTTAAACAAACAGCTTCACGTTTTAACATAAATGATATATAACAAATCAACACTTTATAAAACAAAAAACTGCGCACTAATGAAACAGGCAAGTAAGCTCGATAAGTATTTAAATACTTTTAAGGCTTCGTTCAGAGATCAGTAAACCGCAATTCTGGTTTATTATGAAAATATTCAAAATAATTACTTTTTATATATAAAATGCAATATTTTCTGCATATTTAATAACAGCAATACACGTGCATAAAAGCAAGTATTGTTCATTATTGACATTACATGTATAAATTGAAATTGAAGTCAAATTTAATTTAAATAGTGGTTTTTAAAAATGTAGTGCAATTACTTTACTTGACTATAAAGTAAGATGAAAGGAACGAAGCATAAAGTAGACCTATAAAAATTGAATATTTATATTATTCTTATATAATGATTATATTTGTATTAAAGTTGTGAACGTTCGAAAATCGTTCCTTGGTCCAAGCAACGAACAAAAAATGTATGAAAGCACAGAACTCCATTTTCAATTTTTATCTAGATATAAGTGGTTTTGCAAAGTCGCTGCAAAGTGCACGAAATGCACAGATTGCACAAACTTGCAATAGACAACAACAAAATACACGCACAAGTTTCTTGCAATTGCTTGCAATCTTGCTATACCTAAACCCATGTATATATGTTTGCAAGGAAACAAAAAATGAAAAAAAAAAAAACAGTTGTTTTGACATCTGTTGCTTTTCATCTGGATGTGGTAAGCTGCAAAAACAGCTGTTTCATTTTGATGTTGCAACAGAGATTTTCTCGCAGTCTAGCAATTTTGGTATAGCATACTTGCATTTCATGCAGTTTGCAATGACTTTGTAGGACAGAGTGTATGCCCCTATAGAGTTTTAAATGAAAACCAAATAAAACTTCAGTCAAAAAAGACTTAATATCACAAAAATGATTAATTCAAATATCATTTTTCATTTTTTGCATAGCTTGTAATATATCTTTTATTCATCATTGACATTGATTTTAAGTACTTGTCATGAGGCCTTATGCTCCACTGGGAGTTAATAGAACACAGAAAAAGAAGACTTGTTATGAAATTTGATAGATCTTTTTAAATTTTTTGGTTAAATAATTCGAAATTGGAATATTTATGAATTTCAAAGTAATTTTTATAGATATTCGAATTCAATATTTGTAAGCTCCGCACAAAAATATTACTTGCATTTGTTTTACACTTTCATACTTTAGCAGATACAAAGATGAAAATCTGCATATGCTTGTATAACTAGTATATTAAAATTCTCAAACTCATTTATTATAGTAATTAAGTCAGGTATTAAAATTGTCCTCGTTATATATTTTTATGTTTCAATGAAAGACAACTTGAATAAAATAATAGTAGCATTAAATTGTTACATTTTCTCTCGTAATATTGTATAAAGATTTAAAGTGACGTCAGCTAAATTCAGAATGGAAATTATAAAGACGACAATACTGTCACAATAATAAGTTTATTAAATTATTAATGGTACAAACGTTTTTAAAATGGTCGAGAGGGCATTAAGGCATAGAAGACGGAAAGTCTAAGCGCCCTAACTCGTTGAAGCTATATAATCTTATATCTATATTTAGAGCAGTTCCATAATGTGAAACATATTTAAACGAAATCATAACTCACAAAAATGCAGTTGAGACTGCATATTTATTTTGTGTAAAAGTTAAAGTTGAAAATGAAAACTTATTCAAACATGCTACATCCATTTTTTTGTCTTGTAATAATCAAAGAATTTTTTTAAAATTAATACCTCAACCACCCATTTCTTCAGACATAGCAATAGATAAGGGAATTAAAAAGTAGGTTCAATATTGAATATCATACATTTCTTAAAAAAAGCTTCCAACTACTTTAAATAAATAAATCGATTGTTGAATTAAACACGTTTTGAAAAAATTAAATGTTATCCTTACTTTTTAATCATAGCTCGTACAAAAAAAAATTTGCAAAAACAACTATGTTGTTTTGTGTACCATAGGAGCTTGTTTGTATGTATAAAATTATTTTAATTGGATAGTAGGAAATATATAGTAAACTATCCATTGCAAACAAATCACTGAAAATTTATATTTTAACAAGAAATTAGTCGTCTAATTAGTATATAGACGATAATATATAGTCCAACTAATGTTATGTTTATAATATATGTGTATGTGTGTATATGTGCAGGTATGAATGTAAGTACCACGTACGCGTAGTGGTAAATTTAAAGTTTCTAAATTATTATTAAATTAGTGTTGTCAAATTAGAATTGTCAAATGTTACTTTTAATTAATTAATTAATTTTTAATTTAGTTTAATTTTTGATAAATTTGTTGCAGGTATTTTTTTTTTTTTAAATAAAAACTATTTTTAATGTCTGACTCAATTACTTTCGGAAATGATGTTACTGATTTCTTTTGAAAATAGCTAATGCCTAATTTTTACCCTATGCGAAACTAACAAAAGTTAGAAAGAAAAAAAAATACTATATTTGCAGTGGAGCGCTAATTGTTTATACTCATAACACCAACAACATTCGTCGTCATTGAATTTGCATAAAAGCTTGTGTGCCAGAAGCTGAATGTGAAAAAAGATCGTGGTTTGTCCATAATTGTATTACTCAGAAAAAACAGCGATATGCTGACTCCAACGCATGTAAGTTTTTTTTTTTGAATGTTTCATCAAATATAAATTATGTAGCTCTGCAATTTTTTATAAATTACCGCAAGTATATTTTTAAAGTTTCGAATTCTTCTGAATCGGACCATTACCGTGTCCTTATCTGTGTTTATTTTTTGTAAAAAAAAAAGAAACTTCTTTTTTAGTTTATGATATTTGAAAAAATGCTTTGGATGTTATTCAAGCTGTTAGAAGATTCGAGCATTTTGATATACACATATGCCCGTGATCGAACGAAATGAACCCCTCAAAAATGTTTGAACGCTATTTAGTGCTTAATCATTAGCCTTATAGCAAATAATATAATTCAAAAAAGTTATTTATGTTTATGCTGTTTGAAGTCATAAAGTAGTTATACCTGGATATGTTTAGAAATTTTCGAAATCAACAGTGAATACAATGCTCAGAAGATTCGAATACGTTTATGGTCGAAGAAAATGAGCCGTTCAAGAATGTTCGAACATTATTTGGTGCTCCTTCATTTATATTATAGCAATTGTGAGAAACACAAATAATTTTTTTCTATTATTTTAAATAGTTTGTTCTGTTTGTGTTAATACCTGAAAGTATTTAGAGGTTTTCGAAATTGACAACAATGCTCGAAAGATTCGAACATTTTGATATTCAAATAGGCTTGTGATCGAACATTATTTAATGCTCCTTCATTTACTTTATAGCAATTGTGGGAAACACAAATAATTTTTTTTTATAATTTTAAAAAGTTCTTTCTGTTTGTGTTCTGGGAAGTTATGAAGTAATTATACTTGGAAATATTTGGAGGTTATCGAAATTGACAACGAATTATTACCTACAATGCTCGAAAGATTCGAATATTTTTATAATCAAATATGTTCGTGATCGAACATTTGGCTGGAACACAATGCGCCGCTCAAAAATGTTCGCATACGATGTGGTGCTCGAGCATTTGCTGTTATATATTGAAACTACTTTTATTTTTTTAATATTACTTTTTTATTATTGTTTAATAATTTGTAATTATTTGTAAAATTAATTAAGGTCATTTTTTTATTTATAATCATTTTATGTTTATTGCAAGGGAACTCAAATAGTTTCACCAATAGACATTCTTATCTTTTACAATTATGATATTACAATACGTTAGGCTACACATAAGACGAATATATTATAAATGAACGCTCCGCTCCCTCCATCAATAATAAAATACAGTACGGCAAGGCAAAACGGCGACTCTAATTTACAAGAAGTAATTTTAGGTTTCACTATATTATTATAAATAAATAAAAATGCATAAACTAAAATATTATTCAAACATAATATTAAACCTGTAGTTTATTTTTTTTTTAAATAAAAATATTATTATTAATTTATGAAAAATATTCAAAATATTTATTATTTTCTTTTTACGAAAATGGGAGATAAAGAAATACTTCAGTCATTTACGCATTGTTGTTGTCAGCAGCAGCGACGGCGCGTATGACAACATATCGCAAGACTGTAAAGAAGAAACAATAATAAAGGCAGCCAAATTTTAACACCAGGCGTTTTTTGGACTTCAATTAAACTTGAAAAATATATAAGAATTACGCCATACAATATTGTTTTTATTTTTATTATTATTGAAAAATTTGTTAAAGAGAAATTGTTATGTTATAAAATTAATATTAAAAATTTATAACAAAAAACATTTTTGTATAAAAACTTACTGTGGATGTTTAAGTCAACTTATTTCACTCATGTGAAATGAGAATTTCGTTTTCAAACAGAATGTATTGGGAACTGTAAATACTTGTAATGGCTTATTTTTTTGTTTGATTTTTTGAACAACAATATTTTAATTAAACATAAATATTCGTTTTCTGATGCACAATTTTGCAAATATATAGCCCGTTCATGCTAATTTTTATTATAATTTTTTTTATATATTGTTTACACTTTAAATAAATTTGTATTGATATTTTGTACGTTATAAATTGTTTTTATTGCTTGGGTTTTTTATAATTCATAATTGTGTTGGCAATATTTTTATAATATAAGAATTTTTAACAATTAAAATTAACAAGAATTTTTTAAATGTTTGCACTGTTATTGACTAAATATCTAACATTTTTAGCGTAAAATAAAAATAAAATATTTTATTTATTTTTGTTGCACAATGAGCGATAGCGGCAAAATAACTGAAAACAACCAACACGTTAAACCTCTGCGTTAAAACTGTGTTATTGAAACTGTTTATTTGTTGGTTTTGCTCTCAACAACATGCGAATTCGCTCACGCGCTCAGAGTAAAATTTGACAGATCACTTGTGGAATGTCGCTTCGAACAGAGCTGCCAACTCCTTTTATGTATTCATAAAACGAACAAGAAAAATAATTAAAGAAGATTTTGTCATCATAATTGATAAATAAATTAATTTGGAAACTTTTAAACAAAAATAATAAGTGCAATAAATAAATAAATAAATATTTACATAAGTGCAGTGCAAAAAATACATAGGAAATTTCAAATTACTTTACTTCAATTAACTCGAATTCGCACACGGCTATATTAGTGAACATTAAATAACGTTAATTGAAATAATAAATATGAATTGAAATATATGAATTCATTTTTGTTTAAATTAACAAACAAATAATCTATGCATATTTTTTATATGAAATTTTGATGGCATTAATACCTATAACTAAAGTTATAAAAATAAAAAACATTAAAAACTATATAAATTATACACATATATTAATATAAGAAAACACATAAGAATTATAGATCCAAATAATATAAATAGAACAAAAAACAAATTTTTTAGTTAACATAATTCAATAATATTTGAATTTCCCACCAAACAGAATATAAAAAATTAAATTGAAATAAAATAGAATCAACGAGTATTAACGAGTATATATTAATAACTATATATGTTATAACTAAAGTTATAAAAATTAAAAACATTAAAAATTATATAAATTATACACATATATAAATATAAGTATACAGATAATAATTATATATCCGAATAATATAAATAAAACTTAAAAACCACATTTTTAAGTTAACAGAATTCAATAATATTTGAATTTTCCGCCAAACAGTATAAAAAAAAACCAAATTAATATAAAATAGAATAGAAATAAAATAGAAGAGTAACTGTCACCAACATAAAAGGTAAAGAAGACATTTAAGAGAATGCAACAGGTTGTATATTTTTATTTTTAATCCGTTGCTTTCTCTGTTAATTTTATATTATATTGTTTATTGCAAGTGTACAACAATAAAATTTACTTGAAAAAAAATCAAGGTGAAGAACTTTTGAAAAGATTGTTGAGCTTAATTTTTGTTTTTTGTTTTTAGATATTACCAATTGAAATTTTTATAATAATTTATTTGAGCGGGCTAATTGGTCAATTTAAATATAAAATAAAAACTGCATTTTATTATTTATATTTAAACAAATTATAATGTATTAAAATATTATTTCGATATTTTGACTAACTTCAACAGTCATCTTCAGGGAAACTAACAAAATATACATTGTAATATATCATTGTATATAACTTATTTAAATATAAATAATAAATTATCGTATTTATTTTGTATTTTGTGTTATTACACAATATTTTAATTAAATTAAATAGTATCAATAGTAAATTCTAAAATATAGTATAACTCACACTTAATTCCAAATTATATTTATACATATTTTTTTTATAAAATAACAATTTTAGTTAATTAAATTTAATTTTAATTTATATATCTTTAAAACGAAATTTCAATTAAATTTATAGTTGAAAATGAAAAAATTATTACTTGACTTTACAAATTCTTCTTTAAAAAACACTATCATTAAAAATTTAAATAATCAATAACAAATTAACAACTTTCCATAAAAGTAAAGAATTTTTAACTTCATAAAATTTAATAGTTTCAAATGCAAAAAAAAAAAATAGCAGATCAACAAAAAAAATAATACATATTGACTATCCCTAATACCTCGAGATTTAATAATTGTTATAAATATATTACTATTTAATAGAAATTATGATAAGATAAATTCCCTATGAATAGATTTAAAATTTTTTGTTAATGTGTAAATAAATTTTGTTTTTTGAAAAAATGGTTATAAAATCTTTTAAAAAAAGTTGTCACAATTATTCAATTTCGCATACATTTAATAAAAAAAAATATTTAATTATACTTGAAGCTACAAATTTTTTTTTTTAATTGCGATAAATGTCATATTTGCATAACTCACTGGTATAGACTTAGCGCCTTTGAGTTTATGAAGCACTACAATAAAAAGTTATATATTTAATTATGTAAACATTGCACTTCAAACATAACTCGATATATTAATAATGGATACTTCTTCCTTCTTTAACCGGCTCGGTTCAATATTTAGTGACTAAATTATGTTAGTCTCGGATGTGGCTAAGAATTTGCTTCTGCATGCTAAAGATAATGATACCATGCTATCTATTGCCGATAACGACGCCCGGTTGAATACGCCCATTCTCCTGGTTTTAAGTATAATAATTGAAAAAATATAAACACAGCACATAGATACGGTTTAGTTCTTCTGTGAATACCATCAGAGTGCCGTCTTCACATTTTATAATATAATATTGACATATAATATTCGTAAAATTGTTCTGATTAGATAAATAAATGATAAAAAAATTATTAAAAATGTTAAAAAAACTGCGAAAAGATAGTAACAATACTAACTAATATAATACTGCGAATATAATACTGAGATAAAATATGGTTCTGAAATATGAGGATTAATGAAAAAAAAATTAAATAAATTTTTTTTGTATGTTATGTGGTTAATGAACCTGATTTTGTAAATTCAAAACCTCATGATTTTTTGATGTGCTTCTACAGCGTCTAGTCATAGATGTTGTTGGATTATACCATAGATCGCTTCTTGTCCTGGAGTCATTTTGTATTCTCTTAACGTTACTTTTAACATTATTTTCATTTTATTGTTTTAGTAACTGGACAACCTGAACTTTAAGTGTTCGTACCTCACAACCATATATTAGAAATGGGTATACTAACGTTGTATTTCAAATTGAATGCCCCTTGTTAGAAGTTTCGATTTAAATAAAAGTATTTTATACGTATTAATAGCTAATATGTTCTATAACGTTTTTTTTTTTTTCATAAAAACTTTGTTTTTGTTTTTATTTATAAGCAGATCTATTTTTTGGCAGCTCTTTTATTTTTAAAAAATTAATAATTAGATCTTCTATATTGCTAACATGAATTCATATAAAATAAAACTTTAAAATTAAAAAACTTTAATTTAAAAATAAAGTAAAATTTTATTACAATTTATTAATTTGAATTTTTTTTCATTAAAAAAATAGATTCGTATTACTATAACCAGAAAAAATGTAGGCAAAAATATTGTTCTAGTTTCAAGTCCCTTAAAATTATCGTACAATTCAATTTACAGATGTTACAGTACAGAACAGGCTCATAAAAAATCAGTTATAAACTGGTAAAATAAATATTTATGCCTTAAATTATTGTTTCTGCAGAAAATAGTACTGAAATATAACAATAAAACTGTTATGGTTAATTGCGATACGTAATTGCAATTAACTTTTAAATTGCGATACGTAACTGCAAATTAACTATTTAATTGCGATACGTGATTGCAATTATAGTAACTATACGTAATTGCAAAAACGACAGCTATATTTAGTTCTCGTTTTTGTTTTCGTTCTTATACGAGTTAATATTTTGATGACACAACAATAATATAATTGATAAAACTCTTATTTTTAATAAAACAAGCCAAGTACGGCGTTCAGGTGTTTACAACATGAATTTAGACTTAAAAGTTGGCAGGGTATATGTTAAACCCCTATTAATAGCCAGTTTAAAAATAATTTACGAACAACTGAATTCAGAAAAAAATTTATAATTACCTTTCTATTAATCTTTCTTCTTTAATAAATGGTTATCAATTTGTGTTCTATAATATATACATATATAGTAACAATTTTAAAATATAATAAAATAAAAGTTTTCAACATAAGGAACCAGAAGGACAGACTGAATTTTCTGAAGAAAAAAATATTATATTTTTAATAGTGTCTTATAGCTAGGATAATTAACCTCATAATAGCATTAGATTAATAGTTATAAAAATGAGCTGCAAACAGTTGACTTGGTTAAAACATAATTTTATAAAAGTTGCCAAAAATCTTTTAAAACTGACATTGAGACTTTCAATGTTTTCATAATATCGAAAGAAACCTTCAAATAAATTAATAAATTCAAATTTTTGTTTTAATTTATTATAAATACTTTTTTATATATAATATTATTATGTACATACTTTATTTGAATTATTAACAATTAATTTTATATCTTAAATACTCTAAAACTCTTCTGATGATCATTCACTGGCATTTTTATATATCCTATAGCCAAATAATAATGCTGATTTTTTTTTATAAAAATTTATTAAAAATAAATACAACAGAATATAAAAAAACATTAAAATAAAACGTATGTTGCATATCTCTCAAATATTACAAATATATCGGTTATTCTATATACGAGCACTTGGTGAGCACTTGTTAACGCCAGAATATTTTCATACTTAATAAGCTCCATTTTGGAAAAACTTGCAGGTCTTTTAGTGATGATAGATTTGTTTCTTGTCTATTTCATTACTTACATATATATGTTATAATTAAAAGCTTCTATCTGTGTAAAAAAAAATCATAAATAAATAATGTCAAGTTATCTTGTAAATTGCAGTTTTCTTGGAACAGTAACAAAAAGTGATTAAAGAAACTTGGTGTTTTAAAAAAGATTTATGATATATGTAATAAATCGCTTACTTTTGTAGTCAGCTATAAAAATGTAAAAGTCGGTATATATCTATTCATTTTCCGCAAAATCTATGACTGTACATTACCTGGATGTTTTGTTATATTCGCAATAAAGAAAACAATTCTCATCACAACTTAAATCCTATTGTCTATTGGTTCAATCAATAATCACTAATCAAAAGTGATTAAAGAAACTTGGTATTTTGAAAACAATAAATTCCTTACCTTTGTATTCAGCTGTAAATATGTTATAATCGCTATATATCTATTTATTTTCTTCAAAATCTATAACTATACATTACCTGAATGTTAATTGCTATATTCGTAATAAAGAAAACAGTTATCATCACAACTAAAATCATATTGTCTCTTGGTTATTGATAATCAAAATGATGTTCTTATTCTCTCTGGTCTAATCAAAAGTAATTACAGAAACTTGTTATTTTGAATATAGGTTTATATATAATAAATTTCTTACCCTTGTGATCAGCTGTAAATATATTTCAAGTTATAAAGTTCGAAATTATATATCCACAATACGTTTAACCTATTGAATTTAATATAGAAATATTATATTTTTAAGTGATCAATTCAATAAAAAATAATATGCTTTACTTACATTTTTTAACGAATAACATAAACTAATAACCATAATGTTTGATTAAGTAATAAGAGCTGTTTAATTATTTTGATGGTCGAATGGCAAAAACTCTGGTATCTCCTCTGCGTCGTCTATTTCGCTATCGTTTTTTCTTAAGAACACGACGCTTATGATTAGTAAGATAATTGACATAACATAACGAGAAATGGTAAATTCTAATGTCCCGAAATCAAATGCTTTTATTAGCTCCCACAAAAATTGAGATATGTATAGCCAAAATATCTCAGCCAAAATATCTTTAATGTATACTTTGGCTACAACATTGATTATGTCACATATTGATTTCAATAAAAAAGATTCTGATATGATTTTTATTTGCATACGAGATAAAAACACTTCTAAGGCAAGCAAAAATATATAATATTCAATTCCGGGTTCAATCACAGGATCCTTGGGAATACGGTAGTTATTATTGGCGATATTATAGTAAGTAACACCTAATGATATTATGAGCGATAAAAAACTGAAGTTATTAAACTCTATCACAAGTCTTTCCATATTGATTAGTAAAGTTTTTTTTAATAATAAAACGTCACGTTTATATCAAGCCGAGTTTTATTTGAAAAAAAATGTGAACTGAAATATTGTTTTATTATTTTTTTAACATATTTTTCTGACAATAGAATCTTAAAAAAAAATTAATTAAATTTCAACAAAGTCAAAAAAAAAATGAAATATAAAATTATTAGTGACATATATATATCAGAAATAGTAAGTGCTACTCATTTCGTGATCCTCATTTGGCAGAACTATATCACTAACATATATTAAAATATAGGTCAGCAATGACTCTTATTTCTTACTTCGGTCAAATGTCAAGAAACAAAATTGTCGCATCTGGGGTAGAGAAAATCCTCAAGTAATTATATAAATCATGTATGATATGTATGATTTATGTATGCCATTTGGTCACAGGTATGACCGACCCACATTTTTTTTAAAATTATGTATATGGTCAACTCTGTCTTATTATGTAGTTGTTGCCCGAGAAATTTCCCTTACGTGTAAATTCAAGTTTTGATGATAAGTATTGGCCACATAGACGATGCTATTTCTTACCAATGGTGGAATGGTGAAAGTGTCTATACAGATAATTTTTAAACTTTTGACGGTTTGAAAACTAACATATGTCAAGATATGGCCAAAATTTTGCCAGCTGTGCCGACAATTCAATTAAAATTATTTTAAAAATATCCATAATTGTAAAATGTCCTGTGAAGTACAAGTAAGTAAGTAATATTGTGTTTTACATTTTATGATTAAGTAGAAAAAAATTTATTAAAATAAAAATCATAAGTTTGTTAGTATTTACAATCATAAATTAAATAACTCTATATTATGATAAACTAGGAGGATAATAGTATGTTTATACTGACTTCACTAGACCAGTTAACTTACTTGAAATTGCTTATATTACTATGAATCTCAAGTAAGTTAAATCGTCTAACGAAACCAGTGGAAACACACTATAAGATAAAAACTTAAAAGCAAATCATGTGATTATAAAAGGAATATAATCATTAATAACTAAATATTTTATATCCGATGACAAGAAATCTATTTTAAATTATAATGGGAATAAGAGTGCGAAAATTGTCAAATCTAAAAATTTAATTTTTATAACAGGGATTTCTTGAATTAATCATACCGTTATTTTAGTTATCACCAAATATCCATCACAAGGGTTCTGCAAAACATCAATTAGTTAAATTGTCTGTGTATAATTTAAAATAATGACATGTATGGGCTCAGGAATTGAACTTTATTAAATTTATAACACGGACCCTCGCTTGTTCACACACACAGCCAACGTGAACTTTTCAAAATTCTCAGTTTTGTTAGGTAATAGTATAAACTATAGTGTCATATCAGAATTCCTCGAATGAAACTTAAGTTGTTTTAAGTTAGTTTGTATCTTAATATGGATAAATCGTTTATATTTCGAACTATATTACATTATAGAAAAACACACAGTATGGCAAAATATTGCAGTGGTAGGTAAGTAGCTAGGTAGGTAGGTTGTTTCCAAAAAGCTAACTTGAGCTTAAATAATGGCCCTATGTGGTACCACAGAAATAGCATTGGTACGCAGTGGTTATTAGGAAGAAAATGCATCTGCGACAGAAGTGGTTTAAAAATTCAAGGCTCAAACTAAATGCAATATGTTAGGCAATCGAAAAATAATGGTTGCTCAACTGTCATTATCAAAAACAAGCATTTGCCAGTAACGAATATTTAAAATTGAGATCAAATTAAATCTCTATAAGTTCCAAAAAGGGCACGATTCCAGCAATATTTAGAAAAACAAAATAGAGTTGATAAATCGAAAGACCTCTTGCTGTCACACGAAAACATGAAATTATCAGTTATAATCCTCTCTGATGAGAAATATTTCCGACTTAGGTAACTAATCAAAATCGAAAAAAGGCATGTTATGTGATAAAAACAACACTGCGATTTGAAACAAATATTTAAAATAAGAATTATTAAATATTGAAATGAAATATATAAAATAAAAATAATTTTAGCAATTAGAAAAAATTATTATCGTCTAATATAAAAGTTTTATTAAAATTTTATCTTCAACATAAAAAATATATCTCAGATTGTTTATTGTTTAGTAACAAAAATGTTTATTTTGGAATCCAAAACAGTATATTTTAATATATAAAACTTAAGCTATTTACTTATGATATCTTAATTATCTTAATTTTGAAAATATAAAAATATATTTTAAAATAGTATACATTAAAAAATTGGCATTGATTTTGAATAAACACATTCATGCTCTCCTTAAAGATTTTAACTTGAATTTAAGGACAAATGACTGTGCTTTGGTGCCGAAGAATTTGTTGTCAGGTTTGTGATTATTTTGTTTTCACTATCAGTGCTTATAATTTTTGGATATAAACTTCCACCATTTTTGGTATCACCTAAAAACGATAACGTTTCAGGTGTTCCCTCATTTTTATCTGTTGATTTGGTAGTGGCTTCTGGTGTAATGTCATTGATTTTGATATGTTGCATTAATCGTCGATTAAAATGTCCTTTAAGCGGATGCCACAGGAACAGAAACAAGCCTATAAGGAAACAAATACCTCCAGCCACTTGGCCATACAATTTTATACTTGATATCAATATTAATTCAGTTGCTAATTCTGGGGAAATTCGAGCGGTAGCATCTAGCCAAAATAATGGATAATAAGCTTTTCTCACATTCTTAAATCTCCTACAAAAAAAAAATCATAATGGTTATTTTTTTCAAAAACTAAATATAATGATTTATACACTTACTTTAAATGTGGTATTGGTTCTACAAGTATATTTAATTGCAATCTACCACCTACATCCAATGCCAAACCGGTTACAGGATCAATTACAAGGAAAAATTCGTGTTTTTCTTTATCTGGTTTCATTCCTTCTATTAAATTTTCAAAATATGGATCCGCATTATAGAAGTGTGGATACGATAGAAAAATGGGTGCATCAAACCAACAAGCTGTGATATTAACTACACCAGATGGCACGCACTCGCCATTACAATAACATTCATTGCCCGGATATAAAGTGCCTAATAAAATTTTTTATCTTTAATTTTAGATCTGAACATTTTATTTTTTTGATATAAATACCATTATCAACTGCTTTCAAGCCAGCTATATATTTAAAACCACGCACGCCTTCCACTTCAACAGTTTCGGAATATTCCATTGGTATTGGACGACATAGATCAGGTAAAAATAAATTAAGTGTGTCCCCTTCCTTTAGATTGGATGGTTGAATTTCTCCTGGAGAACCGTATATCTGAGAACATTTGTCTGGCAAGAATTCGGTGGTACTTTTAAATTTCCAATTATGAATTTGACCAACTTTAGTTATGTCATCAGCTCCAGTATGCACATTGAAAACACCATAAAAGTCCGCGCTATAATTTCTCTAGTAAAATAAAAAAAATAATATTATTGTTTCTTATTATTATTGACACTCATCGATATGAAAACCATGTTATCTCTAATTGATCAATTTATTCTTTTCTATTTTCATTTCATCAAACAATAATGAATTCGATTTTAGATAATAATATTTACAATTCAATGAAATAATTATATTTATCTACAAAGTATTTCTTTACATAATCTAAATATTTAAGGTGATTCCCTTTTTCAAGAAATAGAAAAAATCACATAGAATAGACCGTTTTTAATGTAAGTCGAAATAGAATGCAAAAAAAAACATTTAATCAAAATGGTTCAGAAGTATTAGCAATAATATGGACTTGTTGTTTAAAAATAATCTTGATTTCAATAAAGTTTTTAAAAAATTTTCAGTTTTCAAATGTTATTTTATTATTAAATATTTTTAACATCATATATTTACATTATATATATTATATTATATATATGAGTACATCTTTTTTGTACTTTTCTTACAAAAAAGTCTCTAAAATGACCTACTTTATCACTTGTAAGTGATTCTTGACTTCAAAAGATCTCAAAATTATTCCAAATATCTTAATAATAATTGATCATAGTTATATTATTAAAAAAATTTCATCATTAACATCATATTTAAATTGATGATCGAAGACAACGTAAAGATGTTGTATTTGTTTATTTTAAAACGATCTATAAAAAATTTTAAATAATAATTATTACGGAAAAAAATCTATATAACAATGTTGTATATTGCACAACAATGATCTGTAACAATGATCACTATTAGTAAAAGGACTATGAAAATTTATATATTATATATGTTTATATATAAAAAATATATAAATAACTTATATATATATACATATAACATATAATTATAAAATTATTATGATGATTATTATTATTATGTTTCGGGGATCTTGCAGTGTGACTGTAAAGATATATTGTCTGCATTGTTATTATCGCTATTGTAATCTTTCAACGTGATCTAGCACCCAAACAAGGATGTCCAACTTACGACGCCACTCCATCACCAATTTTACGTCACCTGATGACAGTTGAATGTCTTAATTGATGATTGGTGGTTGACTATCAGTGTGAATGGCATTGATTTACCGGTGAATCTGCAGCACCATTTATTAAGGTTGGTCAATGATATGCCTTTCCTTGTTTTAACATTTTATAAAATCGTGATATCCAAATAATGTTTTCAAAATTTTTACAGAGAGTTCTAAAGTCGGTAATTTGGAACTAAAAACTACCACCCCAAAGAGAGTTAGAAATTGTGGAAAACTGTATAGAAATAAATAGCAAATCTACAGAAAACCATGTCTACAGTTCCAAACTGTAGACTTAACTTAATGGTGTTAATAGATTTAATGGTGTTAACTTAAAAAACTTATTCCTTTATAATTACTATAATATTTTACTGATTTCAATTTTTAATACGGTTCTAAATACGATTCTTGTTTAAAGAAGGGAAAAAGCAAATAAAATTGAATAGACTATATACAATCTTATACTACTACGATTTACTAAAAAATCGAAGTTTCTAAGCTAAACAATTTTCAAAGCTCAATGTATACTATATATGTATTATGCCACATACCATTATATATCAAAAGAGTAGTTTAAAGTTATTTAAAAACATGGTAGTGAATATCATTCGAAATTTGAATTTTAAAGAGGTAACACAATATTACTCTCTAGTTATATCACACAATATATTGTCATTAGTTGAAAAAAAATCTTTACGATTATTACTTAAGTTTAATTACAGTTTTTTTCTAGTAGCTGCAATATATATTATAAGTTATTTTTTATTATAAGTAAAATTAATAAGAGTCTTTTGATTCTATTGATTAGAATCATTGAAATTGATTAGAGATAATATTCAAGATTAATTATATATTTGTATATAAACTTATGCTATAAATATAAAAAAAATTTTGACAGCGTACTGTTATTGAAGTTTGATAATACTTCACATAGAATACATTTGTATATAAATATATATAATATTCATAAAAATTTAATTATTAATTTTACTTACGGGATAACAGTAACCAAATTTATCATAGGGAACAGTTTGAGCACTAATAGCGGTTGGCACTATAGTACCAGCAACTAACAACATATCATGGAAGCCACGGAAAAGTATATCTTCAGCTGATTTAGTTATGCACATATCGTTTGCATATACATTAAGGGTTATATCGATAAGAGTACGCCTTATTTCATTCATTCGTTTTGATCGAGTGGCTGCAACCTGAAAACAAATAACAATGTCAGCATTTACCATATTATGTTAGATATATATATTTATATGTATTGATGGACCTACCACTGCCGGTGGATTAATTGCTGTTATCATATCATTTAGTTGTCCTTTACTACTTGAAGGTACAAAACGAAAATCACTTCTCTTACGATATGATACAGTAGCATTTTCTGGATGCCAGACAACATCAAGCTTTTCAGGATTCTCTATATATCGATATGGGCCAAGTTCTTCAAATTTTGGTTTTATGGATGGATTATACAAATCTTCTGAATTCGTCCAATTAAATAAATAAAAATCTACATTTAGTTTGATTGGTGGATTTTTCCAAAAATCATATATTCTGGAATTTGGACGTAGAACTAATTCCTATTTTTTTATATACATTATTAGAAATATGTACGAAAGTTTTATATATATTTAATAATAATTACTTTATGTAGTATTGATTTAAAAATCATATGCCAGAACAAGCCTGTAAATAAACCTAGGATTGCAATGCACAAACCACATGTGCGTAGAATTAAATGGCGGTCCTTTGTTTGAGACATGCTGAGTTTTGACGAGTTAGTTGGCATTTTTCAAAAATATCACTGGATTACTGTAATAAAAATGAAACAATTTATTATAAAAATTTTAATATTATATGAAAAGTACACAAATAATGTTCTAGCATAGGATATCTGAATAAAAATCCAACAGATTGATCAAAAAATGACTATCAGCATTCAAGCTATCAGTTTAATTGCCGTAGCCATCAAAAGACATTGTGGAATAATGAGAGGTACTGCTACGCCGATGTCAGGTTCTTAATACCTGACAAAGGTATATATCAAGGGATATACACTTTAATTGAAACATCGATGCATTAGTTAAAAAATTTAAAACAGTGAACACTAAACGTCCGAATACTAAACTGGATCAAAGTATCGTTGTACTTGATATCGAAGAAAAGTATAGATAACCCCCTTTTCTATTCGAAATAGAACTCTTATTAGAGAATATGAAGATTTTTAATAAATTCGATTAATCAAAGTACTTCGTGTCGAGAAAAAGTATAGAGTATATACACTTATTAACGTATCACTAGCCACGACATATACATACTCACCAATGACTAATCATCAGTTGTAATTGATTTTATTTAATATTTAATTAATAATTTTGCTTTTTATTCTAATCTTTATTGTTAATTAACAAATTAAAGATTTGTAAAAAATCATGTGCTAATTACAAAGAAAAAATTTCGAAAATAATATAGCAACATCAGATGTTTATACAAATGTACGATTGATAATATTACTAACAAATAATAAAATTTAATTAAAAACATTAAATTTAATACATTTAAATATTACAAATTGCATTCACTAAAGTTATTAGCTTGCAATTTTTTTTATATGCATAATTAATGTTCAATTAATTGTTATTAAATAAATAATATGAAATTAGAACGAAAATGATTAAAATTTAATATAACACGTTATCAAGCAGCGGGCAACAGTATTTTATTATTGCAATATTAAAAAATAAATAATTTTATAAAATTAGAAAAAAAGATGAGTACTAATTTTTAAAAATTTCTTCCCAATATTTAAATTGTTACTAGGAGAATTAACAATGACAAATCCTGGTACAGTGAAAAAAAGTTTAGTAGACAGATTTAAAATATAGAAACCCATAAGCACCTTCAGTTGTTAACAGCACGATTGAGAAATCTCCAATCCGCCACATTATCACCACTGTACTTTACTTAATAAAAATATACAAAACTAAATATATGAAAACTAAATCTTGATCTTTTAAGATAATATATTTTGAATAAATAATTCTTTTTTATAACTATGACAAACAAATATTTAAAGAAAGATACAGATTTACATATAAAAATATATTGTACATATATTGTATCATTATATCATCATTTTCTTAACATTTCTAAGCTTTTATGCTAAGGTAGTTACTTTTCATTTCAGCCATATCTTTTCTCCCTAAATCACTTTTTAAGGTTTCCCAACAAATAATAATGACTGGGAGCCAAATATAGACAATACATCAAATGAGAAATAGTAATTTTGTTATAGTTAACATGAACTTGTGACGTAATCCATTATATTCATTGAACAATAAATTCTTCTTCTTAATTTCGGTAAACTATGATATCATTTTTCAAATATAATCATAATACCACCCAAAATTTAATATTAATAGTGCTTTTTTAAAAACTGTTTTTTTAAAAAACAATGCTTTTTTAAAAAACTTTCTGTCAATATGTTATATATAGGTAGTCTTTACTGTCTTTGTCCCATTCTACGTTACCTTACCAACGTGGCTAACTTATTATAATAAAACTTAAATATTGATGTTAAAAAGAATTAGTTATATGTAAAATCAAGACGAATGTGTATACATCAGTTCTTTGAACCCATTCAAACCACATCTAAAGAATGAATGAAAAAGATTTTCACAGCAGTATGGAAAATTCATTCCAGGAATCAGGAGAGAGAGAGAGAGAGATGGGAGCAGAGAAGCTTAATACCTAGTGGGCTAGAACATTAGTTCTTATACAATTGGTAGACTATAGTGAATATCTCTCCATAATGAAGTTTTTTTTAAGATACTGCCATTTTTTCATATGTTTTTTTTTATGTTCGGAACCCCTATAGGAAATCTTTGCATAGTGACTTTTCTTTAGCGAATTCGGTGTAACGAAAAATAAAGTATCGGAATCTATGTACATTTGCTTTGATACAAGTATACTGTACAATTTTTTCTTGTATATATGAATAATGATGAATAAAATATAATTTTTAAATGCATACACACAAATTTTTTTTCTCAACCGCTCCCGCTCTGTGCAGAACACTAAACAACCACAAACACATATTATGGTAATCTCTGATAAGTATGGTAGTGCCGAAGAGTCCTTCTATTCTAATAACAGTGATAACAGATTGATGAAGAGGACTGTTTTGAGAAAGAGGCAAATGATAACGAAGAGTTGCTTAAAAAGAACAACATATTGCAATATATTTATAATAATGAAACAAAAGATCAATCCACCGAAAACATGCATCGTTCAAAGGAGCAAGAAAATTGTCGTAGACACAACAGGCGTAGAGGACAAAGTCCACATTATAATCGCATAAAGGACTCTTTAACTAATGAAGATATTAAAACTTCATAATTTAATTTAAATTAACAGTCCTAAACAAATCATGCGCTACATATTATTGTAAAATATATACTAATGAAGTATGTATGGTATATATAAACGCAAATTTTTAAAAATTCATTTTCATACTATTTTGACTGTATTTGTTAATAATTCTTACAAAATAATAAGACAATACTTGTGTTCTTATAATAAATGGTCCAAATCAATGAAAATTAAAATTTCGATTATACACTACTTATGTATCAACTTTCAATGAAGGCTAAATATGTTTTATAACAATTTTATGCCTTTCCATATAAATGTTATATTATTTTATTTATTTTTACTGCCTAACTTTTACTTATTTAATACATTTTGTAATAAACCCTAAATAAATACAAGCTAAGGTATATACAATTATACCTTTACACATTGGCTAGTTTTCGAAATTATTTTTATGAACATAAAACTAGTCCCAATTGAATCCGGTTGAGACTATATTTTTATAACATTAAGTCTGCAACAAACTTTAATTTTAGAATAGAAACACACAACCTCAAAGTTCAATTCACTTCAAGTTATTTTTTTTTAAATAAAAGAAATCGAGCAGATAATAATGCTGCTAGACATTTTTATTCGTATTTGATAAGCTTGCTCCAGACTGATATACTAAGTATGATTGCACTTTACAATAATAAAAATACAATTAAATAACATAAAGAACCGCAATACAATTTTCATATAGTAAAGAAATTATGTACATTTATTTAATAACATAATGCAAATGAGGACGAACATATGTTAAACAAATGTAATTTTCACATATATGTTATGCATAAATATATTCAAAATTAATTATATTAATAATAATTCATGCATTCATAATATATATATAACATTTTACATATATATATATTTTTTTGTTACTATTTTCTAATACTCTATCTTGGTTTATGTTTATGAAAAAAAATGTTGGGTCCACATGGCGTATGAGCAATTTATTTTCTTGTTTGTATGCAGCTATCGTAAATTCGCTTATTTTATTGGATTTAAAAAATGTTTCTAATAAATATATTAATTTAGTTATTTACATTTTTTTTCATGTCTTGAATGAGTATATTAAATACAAATATTTTAATATAAATAAAGACATTTAAAACAAGTGATATTATTAAGTATCAGAAGTCAGACAAAAAATTTCAAATAATATGTTCAACAAAGAAATTCAGTTAAAAAAGTAGCAGCCATAATGTGTATGTTAAACCCATAATGTGTAGGTTGACACACCCAGAAAAATATACTCTAAGCACATACAAATTAAATTGAACTGGTCATTTCATTAAACAAATTTTACCTCGTGTGATACAGAATAACATATATCAAAACCAACATGTGGTATGGTTGAACCAATATAATTAAAATGTGGCTATAACAACCAAATTGTTTTTCTGAGTGTATTTACACTGCGTGTTTCGTACCTATGCATTCCAATGTCAGGAGGTGCATCTATCATCAAGAAACAGAGAAAAAATTGATTTTCGTACATTTTTAATATTTATCAAGATAAAAAGTATTTAAAAGAAAGATACTTTCAGGCAAAAGCTGTTTAGTATCTTATAAACGATTTATGCAAATAACTTAAGTTGAATAAATATTTTTAATCCATTAAATACACGTTTTTAATAATTTTTACCGAAAACGTTAATATTTTTTTAAATAGTAATTTGTTTATCTTAAGTTGAATATGAGATATTGCAAGTAATTTTTTGTAAGTAAAATTTACTTCAATCGTACTTCCTTTACATATTATTGTACTTTGAGCCGAACTACCTACTGTTTTTTCCAACATAATTTTTTTATAAAAGCAGTTGCGGAAATGTTATGGTCATTCATTGTATGTTTTTGGTTCACTGATAAATTATAAATTGAAAACCGACAGACGGATAGTGACAGTATTTATGCATACAAATTCCATACAGCTTTTCGATTGTGATATCTAAATCATTCTTGCAGTTACAGTCTCTTTATATAGATCTCGAAAATGCACAGAGAAGCTTTGTTAAAGTAACAATATTATAACAATATATTTTAAAATGTATTTATTTATTTATTTAGTGAAAATATGTGTAGAAGAAGTAGAAACCCATCGAACTAAAGCATTGTGACCATACCTGGTCTTTTATACGTCTATATAAATATTTATACATATTCAGTCATAAAATTATTAAAAATTTTATGATCCATTCTATTTTGTCACGATAAAGTATCAGAGTCATAGCTTTGGACAGTGATCAGTTGGCCACATAAAAACCTTCTACATTTTGTTATAGCTGCATTGATTCTTGTTTTTCATATGTCTTCAAACTATATGATATTTTTCATGCTTAGTTTGGATATATGAGCAAATAAGCAACGACATGCCCTCGATCTTTTAGAGTTGGATC